TCCCTCCACCCCAGTCCCCCCAGCCCCCCTCCCTCCACGTGCAGGTCGTTACAAGATCCCTGCCAGGGCGCTCAAGGTGACCTGCCCTCCAGCAGAGGCTGGGTTGCTGCTGCAGCCTGTTCTGCAGGAAGTCCTGGCACGCTGCCCCCGTCCCGCAGCAACCGGGGCCGTCCCGGGCAGCGCCCGGCCAGCGCCAGCGGGGAGAGCGGAGGGAGAGGTGCCCGGGAGCCCCAGCACCAGTGGCCAGCAAGGCCTCACGCCTGGTTTGGCTGGCACTGAGGGGCTTCCTCGCAGGCAGCGTGGCCAGGGGACCCAGCTGCTGGGCACAGGGTCCTCCCTGGCACAGCCGGCCCCGGAGCACAGCCAGGACGCATCTCGCGGGGCAGGAGCAGCCCCGCGTGGGCCGAGCCCCTCGGACGGGGCCCTGCGGTGGGGAAGGACATGGTGCCTTTTCCCGATGGGCAGCTCCCTGCTGCTGGCCAGAGCGCTGCTCCTTTGCTCGGATTTGCGGTGTTACGGTGTGGTTTGGGATTGGACTTGGGAGCATGAAAGGACAGAGAAAGGAAAGGTTTAAGGCAGACGTGGAGCCCGGGGTGAAAGGATGCCCTGTCGCAGTCCCGGAGTGAGAGAAGGACATGGGGATCGCGGGGGGCAACCAGCCAGGACGCATCTGCGGACGGGGCGGAGGGTCGAGGCGGGAAGGAGCTGGGCGGCCCCGGAGCAGCGGCACCGAGCCGGGCAATGCAGAGCCGCGTGGAGCCGAGCCGTGCCGAGCTGAGCTGAGCCACGAGGAGCCGTGCCGAGCTGAGCCATGCCGAGCCGCACGCCGACGGCAGAGGGCCCTTGCGCCCGCCCAATGCGGCTGCCGGGAAAGAGCAAGCGCGGATCAGAGGGAAACGCAGCGCAATCGGACAGAAGCTTCTGAGGAGCAAATAAACGTGTTGGACTTTGCAGAGCCAGCGCTGTGGTTTTCACTTGCTGGGGTTCCCACTGACAGCGGCGGCTGTTGGGGCACCCCGCCTCTGCCCTTTTTTGGCCCCCCCGCCCCTTCCCCCGCGCTGCCAGCGGCTCCCGGTGGGGCCGGGGCCATCCCTGTGGGGACGGGGCGGTCTCAGGAGCGCAGCCCTTCTCGCCCTTGGTCGCCTGTGCCCAGCGGAGCCGGTGCTGCCGGTAGCCCCCTCCCAGCCTAGCGCTGCCCCCGTCCCCCAGAGCAACCCGCGGTCACTGCACCCGGGCTGCCCTCACCGCACGGTCTCTGCGCCCCGGCCGAGAGCCCGCACACAGCGGGACCATCACCCACCTCAGCCGCTGCCACTGGTGCCCCCAGCTGGGGCTGAGACCTCCAAAACCGGGACCCACAAGGCCACCTCCTGGTGGGACACCCGGCTCCCCCAGACCGGCTCCTGCCTCTTCCCATCTCTTACCCCCCACCAGCCCAGCCCAGGGCACGAGCACACGGACCCACGCGGCCTGGAACCCAGGAGAACTCAGGCAGAGGCCCCAGCGTGGGCTGGCGCAGCGCGCTCCCACCCCAGCACCTGCCAGCCCAAAAAGCCACTGCTGCTTCTGGACCCCAGCCCGGGTCCAACTGCGGCTCCTCAGGCACCTCCTGGCTATCCCTCAGCTCTCCAGGAGCAACAAGCGCTTCCCAGTCCCTCCGCGGAGCAGGGGGCCGGAGCGGCCGCGCGGGGAGCGGGCAGGCGCCCCCTTTATTCCACTGCCTCCAGGGGAAGAAACTTTGTCGCGGGCTGCGCGGAGGCGCTCGCAATCACGCGGCAGGCAGGTGGTACGGACTGAAGCCGCCAAACAATGCCGGTTAGTTTGTAACCTGCGACTAAATCTGGTGCTAGCTTTAATTTCAGAGTCTGCTTCGGGGCTCGCTTGTTAATCTCTATGCAAAGCAGATGAAATGAATATGCAGCATTTTGGATGTAATTGTACGGCTTCAATTCAGCACTATAATTTTCCAAACAGGATCTTGCAATCAAGCTCCTATTCATTAGCGTATAAACAATTTAGTTTCTCGGCTCTCCAGTCTGCCAATCATTCCCACGGAGCGAGCATCTCCAACAGAACGAGCCGGAAAGTTTCCTTTGTGTAACGGAGGTAAAAGTTGCTCCACACTTGGGACCAGCCCTGCGCAATGGCAGAGCTGGACCCGCTCTGCCGGGGTTCCTGGAATGACGGATGGGGGACACGGAGGTCGCTGGCACCGCTGCCATCCCCGCACCCATCCCAGCGGGATGCGCGTTGCAGGTGCCGCTCCCCGCTGCACAGGGGCATCCCGCACCCTGCCGGCCTCGGAGCCGCAGAACCGGGTGCCGGGGACACTGCGACCACCAGCGGCATCGGGGCCGTCGGCAAAGGGAAGCGCTGCCGGGGGAGCGGCGCTCGCGCGGCCTCCATCTCCGAATGAGCATCGACAGCTCTAATTAGGGGCCGCCACGCAGACAGCTCATTAGCTCGTCACGAGGAGCCGCGCGGAGCTGCATCCTCCAGCAAAACTAATTACTTCCTGATTGTCTGCGGCCACCCACTGGGTATAATAGTATAGACTAAATTCGGCATATACATAACGAAGCACTCGGCACCAATTTGGCGCATGGTAATCATCTTCGGTGTTGCATAATTAAGACCTGATCACTTGGAATAATTATTGCATATCCGCAGTACCGGGGAGCGCTGCATAATGGTGCGCGGGCCGCGGCGTGGAGGGGGCCGCGCTGCCCGGTGGCCCAGGCCTGGTGTCACCGCGCGCCTGCAAAAGGCGCTCGGAAAGAGGCGGCAATAAAAGCACTAAATTAAACGAAACGGCGCGTATGTGCCGAATCCACGGGCTTCCTCCAGTGGCTCCCCGGGGATGCGGGGCGCGGGCAAAAGAATAGGTGGATGTTGCACGCGCCCGGCGCGGCTCGCGCTCTGCCGGCTCATAAATCACGCGGGGCGACGGCGTTTCACAGCTCGCTTCCCGGCCAGGATATTGCCATTC